CGCAGTGTTGGCATGCACTTCACACGCAGTGTTGGCATGCACTTCACACGCAGTGTTGGCATGCACTTCACACGCAGTGTTGGCATGCACTTCACACGCAGTGTTGGCATGCACTTCACACGCAGTGTTGGCATGCACTTCACACGCAGTGTTGGCATGCACTTCACACGCAGTGTTGGCATGCACTTCACACGCAGTGTTGGCATGCACTTCACACGCAGTGTTGGCATGCACTTCACACGCAGTGTTGGCATGCACTTCACACGCAGTGTTGGCATGCACTTCACACGCAGTGTTGGCATGCACTTCACACGCAGTGTTGGCATGCACTTCACACGCAGTGTTGGCATGCACTTCACACGCAGTGTTGGCATGCACTTCACACGCAGTGTTGGCATGCACTTCACACGCAGTGTTGGCATGCACTTCACACGCAGTGTTGGCATGCACTTCACACGCAGTGTTGGCATGCACTTCACACGCAGTGTTGGCATGCACTTCACACGCAGTGTTGGCATGCACTTCACACGCAGTGTTGGCATGCACTTCACACGCAGTGTTGGCATGCACTTCACACGCAGTGTTGGCATGCACTTCACACGCAGTGTTGGCATGCACTTCACACGCAGTGTTGGCATGCACTTCACACGCAGTGTTGGCATGCACTTCACACGCAGTGTTGGCATGCACTTCACACGCAGTGTTGGCATGCACTTCACACGCAGTGTTGGCATGCACTTCACACGCAGTGTTGGCATGCACTTCACACGCAGTGTTGGCATGCACTTCACACGCAGTGTTGGCATGCACTTCACACGCAGTGTTGGCATGCACTTCACACGCAGTGTTGGCATGCACTTCACACGCAGTGTTGGCATGCACTTCACACGCAGTGTTGGCATGCACTTCACACGCAGTGTTGGCATGCACTTCACACGCAGTGTTGGCATGCACTTCACACGCAGTGTTGGCATGCACTTCACACGCAGTGTTGGCATGCACTTCACACGCAGTGTTGGCATGCACTTCACACGCAGTGTTGGCATGCACTTCACACGCAGTGTTGGCATGCACTTCACACGCAGTGTTGGCATGCACTTCACACGCAGTGTTGGCATGCACTTCACACGCAGTGTTGGCATGCACTTCACACGCAGTGTTGGCATGCACTTCACACGCAGTGTTGGCATGCACTTCACACGCAGTGTTGGCATGCACTTCACACGCAGTGTTGGCATGCACTTCACACGCAGTGTTGGCATGCACTTCACACGCAGTGTTGGCATGCACTTCACACGCAGTGTTGGCATGCACTTCACACGCAGTGTTGGCATGCACTTCACACGCAGTGTTGGCATGCACTTCACACGCAGTGTTGGCATGCACTTCACACGCAGTGTTGGCATGCACTTCACACGCAGTGTTGGCATGCACTTCACACGCAGTGTTGGCATGCACTTCACACGCAGTGTTGGCATGCACTTCACACGCAGTGTTGGCATGCACTTCACACGCAGTGTTGGCATGCACTTCACACGCAGTGTTGGCATGCACTTCACACGCAGTGTTGGCATGCACTTCACACGCAGTGTTGGCATGCACTTCACACGCAGTGTTGGCATGCACTTCACACGCAGTGTTGGCATGCACTTCACACGCAGTGTTGGCATGCACTTCACACGCAGTGTTGGCATGCACTTCACACGCAGTGTTGGCATGCACTTCACACGCAGTGTTGGCATGCACTTCACACGCAGTGTTGGCATGCACTTCACACGCAGTGTTGGCATGCACTTCACACGCAGTGTTGGCATGCACTTCACACGCAGTGTTGGCATGCACTTCACACGCAGTGTTGGCATGCACTTCACACGCAGTGTTGGCATGCACTTCACACGCAGTGTTGGCATGCACTTCACACGCAGTGTTGGCATGCACTTCACACGCAGTGTTGGCATGCACTTCACACGCAGTGTTGGCATGCACTTCACACGCAGTGTTGGCATGCACTTCACACGCAGTGTTGGCATGCACTTCACACGCAGTGTTGGCATGCACTTCACACGCAGTGTTGGCATGCACTTCACACGCAGTGTTGGCATGCACTTCACACGCAGTGTTGGCATGCACTTCACACGCAGTGTTGGCATGCACTTCACACGCAGTGTTGGCATGCACTTCACACGCAGTGTTGGCATGCACTTCACACGCAGTGTTGGCATGCACTTCACACGCAGTGTTGGCATGCACTTCACACGCAGTGTTGGCATGCACTTCACACGCAGTGTTGGCATGCACTTCACACGCAGTGTTGGCATGCACTTCACACGCAGTGTTGGCATGCACTTCACACGCAGTGTTGGCATGCACTTCACACGCAGTGTTGGCATGCACTTCACACGCAGTGTTGGCATGCACTTCACACGCAGTGTTGGCATGCACTTCACACGCAGTGTTGGCATGCACTTCACACGCAGTGTTGGCATGCACTTCACACGCAGTGTTGGCATGCACTTCACACGCAGTGTTGGCATGCACTTCACACGCAGTGTTGGCATGCACTTCACACGCAGTGTTGGCATGCACTTCACACGCAGTGTTGGCATGCACTTCACACGCAGTGTTGGCATGCACTTCACACGCAGTGTTGGCATGCACTTCACACGCAGTGTTGGCATGCACTTCACACGCAGTGTTGGCATGCACTTCACACGCAGTGTTGGCATGCACTTCACACGCAGTGTTGGCATGCACTTCACACGCAGTGTTGGCATGCACTTCACACGCAGTGTTGGCATGCACTTCACACGCAGTGTTGGCATGCACTTCACACGCAGTGTTGGCATGCACTTCACACGCAGTGTTGGCATGCACTTCACACGCAGTGTTGGCATGCACTTCACACGCAGTGTTGGCATGCACTTCACACGCAGTGTTGGCATGCACTTCACACGCAGTGTTGGCATGCACTTCACACGCAGTGTTGGCATGCACTTCACACGCAGTGTTGGCATGCACTTCACACGCAGTGTTGGCATGCACTTCACACGCAGTGTTGGCATGCACTTCACACGCAGTGTTGGCATGCACTTCACACGCAGTGTTGGCATGCACTTCACACGCAGTGTTGGCATGCACTTCACACGCAGTGTTGGCATGCACTTCACACGCAGTGTTGGCATGCACTTCACACGCAGTGTTGGCATGCACTTCACACGCAGTGTTGGCATGCACTTCACACGCAGTGTTGGCATGCACTTCACACGCAGTGTTGGCATGCACTTCACACGCAGTGTTGGCATGCACTTCACACGCAGTGTTGGCATGCACTTCACACGCAGTGTTGGCATGCACTTCACACGCAGTGTTGGCATGCACTTCACACGCAGTGTTGGCATGCACTTCACACGCAGTGTTGGCATGCACTTCACACGCAGTGTTGGCATGCACTTCACACGCAGTGTTGGCATGCACTTCACACGCAGTGTTGGCATGCACTTCACACGCAGTGTTGGCATGCACTTCACACGCAGTGTTGGCATGCACTTCACACGCAGTGTTGGCATGCACTTCACACGCAGTGTTGGCATGCACTTCACACGCAGTGTTGGCATGCACTTCACACGCAGTGTTGGCATGCACTTCACACGCAGTGTTGGCATGCACTTCACACGCAGTGTTGGCATGCACTTCACACGCAGTGTTGGCATGCACTTCACACGCAGTGTTGGCATGCACTTCACACGCAGTGTTGGCATGCACTTCACACGCAGTGTTGGCATGCACTTCACACGCAGTGTTGGCATGCACTTCACACGCAGTGTTGGCATGCACTTCACACGCAGTGTTGGCATGCACTTCACACGCAGTGTTGGCATGCACTTCACACGCAGTGTTGGCATGCACTTCACACGCAGTGTTGGCATGCACTTCACACGCAGTGTTGGCATGCACTTCACACGCAGTGTTGGCATGCACTTCACACGCAGTGTTGGCATGCACTTCACACGCAGTGTTGGCATGCACTTCACACGCAGTGTTGGCATGCACTTCACACGCAGTGTTGGCATGCACTTCACACGCAGTGTTGGCATGCACTTCACACGCAGTGTTGGCATGCACTTCACACGCAGTGTTGGCATGCACTTCACACGCAGTGTTGGCATGCACTTCACACGCAGTGTTGGCATGCACTTCACACGCAGTGTTGGCATGCACTTCACACGCAGTGTTGGCATGCACTTCACACGCAGTGTTGGCATGCACTTCACACGCAGTGTTGGCATGCACTTCACACGCAGTGTTGGCATGCACTTCACATACAGTCTGCATGGCATGACGCCAGGCAAGATATAGACAAGGGCAGTTTGCGTCCACCTGAGCCCTTGACATCTGCCCTCCTGCGCCTTGCCATCACCACGCCCCCCTCCTCAGCGCTCACCACGCCCCCACCCCAGCACGGCATCCCCAGTCCTGCTGAAAGCCCTCCATCCTTACCCCACACAGCAGTCACCAGCACTTCCCAACTCCCACCAGCACTCACCACGCCGCCCTCATCGGGGTGTCCTTACACCGAGAGCACAGTATCCGTCAAGCACGCGTAGCATCCTCTGGGACTTGAAACGGGCCCAGCCCATCATGCCGATCGCACGGCATGTAATTCCTAAGCTTGTGAATGCATGATTTGTGAAAATGGGAGGAGCGGAGGTGCATTGACGCTGCCCCTCAAATCACTGCTGTTGACCAGCTCTGCCGCTCTGCCACATTCCATGGATACATGCAGCATACGAACAATGCGAGGCAAGATGGCATGACGAAGGTGAGGCAGCATGTATGGTTGGCAGGAAACCCTTTTGGAGCGTCTGAAGATGAATGTGTGCACAAGGGCACACCACCAACAGCGCCACCAACAGCGCCACCAACAGCGCTCCTCGGGAGGCTGGGACAGCCAGCCTTTCAGCCCATTGAGGTGCAATATGGGCCACTACTTGAGTGCGCTTTCAGCAGTGGAATTCAGGAGGGAAAGAAGATAAAGGAAGAGGGAAAGCGAGGGTGGGGAGGGGAGGGGACTGACGGTGGGCGAGAAGACGGTGGAGAGGGGAGGGGACTGACGGTGGGCGAGAAGATGGTGGAGAGGGGAGGGGACTGACGGTGGGCGAGAAGACGGTGGAGAGGGGAGGGGACTGACGGTGGGAGAGAAGACGGTGGAGAGGGGAGGGGACTGACGGTGGGCGAGAAGACGGTGGAGAGGGGAGGGGACTGACGGTGGGCGAGAAGACGGTGGAGAGGGGAGGGGACTGACGGTGGGCGAGAAGACGGTGGAGAGGGGAGGGGACTGACGGTGGGCGAGAAGACGGTGGAGAGGGGAGGGGACTGACGGTGGGCGAGAAGACGGTGGAGAGGGGAGGGGACTGACGGTGGGCGAGAAGACGGTGGAGAGGGGAGGGGACTGACGGTGGGCGAGAAGACGGTGGAGAGGGGAGGGGACTGACGGTGGGCGAGAAGACGGTGGAGAGGGGAGGGGACTGACGGTGGGCGAGAAGACGGTGGAGAGGGGAGGGGACTGACGGTGGGCGAGAAGACGGTGGAGAGGGGAGGGGACTGACGGTGGGAGAGAAGACGGTGGAGAGGGGAGGGGACTGACGGTGGGCGAGAAGACGGTGGAGAGGGGAGGGGACTGACGGTGGGAGAGAAGACGGTGGAGAGGGGAGGGGACTGACGGTGGGCGAGAAGACGGTGGAGAGGGGAGGGGACTGACGGTGGGCGAGAAGACGGTGGAGAGGGGAGGGGACTGACGGTGGGCGAGAAGACGGTGGAGAGGGGAGGGGACTGACGGTGGGCGAGAAGACGGTGGAGAGGGGAGGGGACTGACGGTGGGAGAGAAGACGGTGGAGAGGGGAGGGGACTGACGGTGGGCGAGAAGACGGTGGAGAGGGGAGGGGACTGACGGTGGGCGAGAAGACGGTGGAGAGGGGAGGGGACTGACGGTGGGCGAGAAGACGGTGGAGAGGGGAGGGGACTGACGGTGGGCGAGAAGACGGCGAAGAGGGGAGGGGACTGACGGTGGGCGAGAAGACGGTGGAGAGGGGAGGGGACTGACGGTGGGCGAGAAGACGGTGGAGAGGGGAGGGGACTGACGGTGGGCGAGAAGACGGTGGAGAGGGGAGGGGACTGACGGTGGGCGAGAAGACGGTGGAGAGGCCCGACACGAACTGCAGCGCCTCGTACGACGCGCGCTGGCGGTCCGCATACACCTCTGATGGCGGGCATGCCATGGGGTTGCACCGTTGGGGTGGTGGATGATGGTAGGGTGTGAGCAGAGGTGCACAGTTCCCCCGTGTGAGCAGAGGTGCACAGCCGAGCGGGATGGCGAGGGGAGGGGCAGCGATGTGCCGTGGGAGGAGGAGAGCACGGGCAAGTTGAAGCAGAGACAACTTGAAGGTGGGGAGAATGGGCTTGACAACTTGGTTGGACCGACCTTTAGAAATTAGAGTGCTATTAGATTGGATACTACCAAAGGTATGGGGCAAGTGGGAGCATTTGGTGGTGCGGGGAGAGCAGAGAGCCAACAGTGTGGCAGCAGGGGTGGCGTGCAGGCACGAGGAAGGCAGAGAGGCAGAGAGGCAGAGAGGCAGAGAGGCAGAGAGGCAGAGAGGCAGAGAGGCAGAGAGGCAGAGAGGCCAAGAGGCAGAGAGGCAGAGAGGCAGAAAGGCCCATGCTCTCACCTCCTGGAAAGTTGGTTTGATCAACAAACTGCTGCGCCTGCACCACACCAGAGCAAGTCAAGACGGGCGGCATGAAGAAGAAACGAGAAGTGTAGTGAACATTCGCAGTGTGAGATGGAGTGAGTGCGACAGGGGAGCAGGCGTGGCAGCTCATCTGTTGGATGGAGCCCGGCCCAATGATGATGAGCGTCACGCCTGCTGCTTCAAACGCATCCTGACAATAACGAGGACATAGATGCAGAGGTTGCGCGATGAGAGACACTTGAGCTGCGAAACAAGAGGCGTTTCAGAGAGCATGCAGCAACGAGAAAGCAAGCGCGGAGGCAGAAAGCAACAGCCTTCCCATTGCCCCACCTTCTCGTTGGCCAGCATGGTGGTTAGCTTGCGACAGAGCAGACACCTGGCAGGGCGACATGGGCAGGGGAAGGCAATGAGCAGGGAAGGCAATGACCAGGGAGGGCAATGAGCAGGGAGGGCAATGAGCAGGGAGGGCAAGACGAAGAGAGAGCAGTGCACGGGGGGCGGATAGTGAATGCAAGGGTGAGATGCAAGAGTGGAAGGAAGGCGAGACGAATCAACGCGGTCACAAGCCATGCCACCCACGTAGGCAGGAGCAGTGCCACACCATGGCATGGCATGTCATGGCATGGCATGGCTGGCATGGAAAAATGGATGGGATGCGGGGATGAGTTAAATGGCATGGAAAGGGATGATGGCGCGATGGGAATGGGATGAATTGGCATCACAGCTATCCGATTGTTCATGGCTTCATTTAACTTCGCCCTGTTCGCACGCCCCCCACCTCCACCCCCAGCAGCCACCCCCCACCTCCAGCGCGCGCAGCTGGGTGCTCAGCAGCGCGTGGCTCACCCGAAGTGTCGCGTCCACGCCACCACCACGCGCCGCGTCGCCCACAGCGACGTCAGCGCCACGCGCGTGCCGTCCAGCGCCGTCACCTCCACGCCCGCCAGCGGCGCCGCCCACGACGGCGCGGCGGCCTCTGCCACTCCGCTGGATGGCGCCGCCGCGCTCGACGGGCCGCGGAGCTCGCCGGCGGGCTCTGGCGCCGACGGACGCGGCGACGCGGCCTCTGGCGGCAGTGGACCGTTGGACGTCGCGCTGACCGCCACCCGCCGACGCGTTAACTCGCGTTGACTGGCGGCGTATCGCAACGCACGTGGTGCGATGAGAGCGAGGGGCGGCGGCAGGGCAGGTGAGGCGCGCCGTAATGGCGAAAGTATTTGCGCGCAAGGAAGCGTGGGCGACACGCAATGCGACATCATGAAAAACGTCTGAGGTTGCGACGGAGGCGGTAGAGTTTGTGTGAATGAGTCACCTCAGCCAGCAGTACGTATGAGACGAAACTAATCTTACTGAGACACGCCTTATTGAGACACGCCTTCCGAAGAAATTGCGTCATTACTGAGGCACGCGTTATTGAAGCAGATATATTCTGTGACTTCCTATTTCGAGCATTTAAATATTACCAAATTCATTCCAGTTTCGCAGAGCCTATGTATGGACGCTCGCGGTTGCAATGTGTACTCGATATTTTACACACTCTGCACCCGGATTTTGCATGAGCAGGCCCCTGAAGTGGAAGAGTAGCGTAAAACAAAGATATTAATTGATGGAGGTACGGTATGTAAATGAAACAGACAAGTGGCACAATTCCAAATCACTCAATGCGAGTACGTTGGACTGGCACTCCTGCTGCACAGCACCCACTTGGCGTTCTTCTTTAGTGCTGCGTGTCTCAACAGAGGGCACGGGTGAGCAGGGCGGGGCACAAGATCTAGAGGAGCAGGTCGTAGTGGTTGGAGCCGTTGTACAGCAGCCGCACGGCCTTGCGTGGCTTGTTGCCGTGTGCCCCCGCCGCCCGCCCAAACTCGCTGCCGTACTCCGCGATCGGCACCACACCCCCACCCCACCGCGCGCCCTGCCGCGCCTGAGGGGTGGGGCGGGGTGGTGGGAGCATGGGGGAATGGAGGCATGGGGGAATGGGGGCATGGGGGAATGGGGGCATGGGGGAATGGGGGCATGGGGGAATGGGGGCATGGGGGAATGGGGGCATGGGGGAATGGGGGCATGGGGGAATGGGGGCATGGGGGAATGGGGGCATGGGGGAATGGGGGCATGGTGGAAGGACGCCCGCCCAAACTCGCTGCCGTACTCCGCAATCGGCACCACGCCCCCGCCCCACCGCGCCCCCTGCCGCGCCTGCCACGCCGTGAAGGGGTGGGAAGGTGGGGGCATGGGGGCATGGGGGCATGGAGGCATGAGGAAAGGACGCACGTCAGCTGCAAGCAGTGCAGATGGAATAAGGTGGGCAGTGTGGTTGTGGAATGGAGGGGACGGTGCATCGCTTGACCATTGACCATGGCACGGCAAGTGGCAGAGTGAGAGCGAGTGTGGCGCTGTTGCTGTAATGAGGAGCAGGAGTGTAGAGGAGCAGGGGAGAGGTTGAGGCATGCGCACCTTGGACTCGGGGATGTACCTTGGACTCGGGGATGTACCTTGGACTCGGGGATGTACCTTGGACTCGGGGATGTACCTTGGACTCGGGGATGTACCTTGGACTCGGGGATGTACACGATGATGGGCTGCGAGCACATGCGCGACAGCACCTGTGAAGGGGTATGTGGAGAGAGGACGGCGATTGCCCTTTCAGAACTAGAGCAGTGGCAAGGAAGAGATCAGACAATTTCAAAAAGGGGTGGCCATTCAGCATCACACATGACAATGGTAGCAAGGGATAGTTTACAGCAGGCACGAATGGGAAAAACAAACGTCATGTATGGGAACAAACGGAATGCATGGAAACAAACGGCATGCATGCAAATGAAGCAGACCCCACTAGCAGCGCTGTCTCATCTTACCAGCAGCTCCGACTCTCCCCCCCAGAAGTCAGGCCTGGTGATGCGCTGGCAGTACCTGACGCGGGTTGGAAGGCATGGAAGAGGATTGAGAGATGCAGTGGAGGGTGGTGTGCAAGCGACGGTAGGGCACCGGTGCCTCCACACGTGGCTGACTCGCTTCACCCCAGCGCTCACAGTCCACAATGGACGGCCCCCATTGCCGCCCGCTCATGGCTCTCCTCCAGTGATCGCAGCAACCGCCACTCATAACACCGTTACCACCACTATTCTCATCACCCATGTGCCATCACCGATGACCCATGTGCCATCACCCATGACCCATGTGCCATCACCCATGACCCATGTGCCATCACCCATGACCCATGTGCCATCACCCATGACCCATGTGCCATCACCCATGACCCATGTGCCATCACCCATGACCCATGTGCCATCACCCATGACCCATGTGCCATCACCCATGACCCATGTGCCATCACCCATGACCCTGAACTCTAAACCCTGACGCATGATCACAGTGCCTGTCCAACGCTGAGTAGCGGAAGCCGTCAGCACCACCATCGTGGAAAGCCATGACCCACAACCCATCACACCCTCCCACCACCCTCCCATGCATCACCAACTCATCTCCTCCGCTCACGCCCATCTGCCCGCCCTGCTCATCCGCCGTGCCCTCCTCTTCTCCCCGTGACCGTCCCTTCCCCTCCCCCACCAACCCCACCCCCTCTCGCTGACCGCGGCAGGCTCTCCTCCACGGTGATGGCGATGAGCGCCTCCTCGTACGCGGCGCGGCGCTTCTCACTGCCGCACAGCGCATCCGCCACCGCCAGCCGCAGCTCGTCTGGGGCATGTGGCATGGCATGGCATGGCATGGCATGGCATGGCATGGCGTGGCGTGGCGTGGCGTGGCGTGGCGTGGCGTGGCATGGCGTGGAATTGAATGGAACGGAATGGAATGGAATGGAGGCCAAGGCACAAGACAGGGAGTAACGAGGGCTGGAACAGGAGAGAGAGGGATTGAGACATGAACGACAGGAAGTGGATGCCATGGCAGCACGCACAATCCATGAATCCCTTCATCTCTGCCTGCTCGCACCCTCTGCCTGCTCTCACCTGCCTCGCGAGTCTCATCGGCGGGGGAGAGCGCCATGTTCTTGTTGGCCGCCATGCCCGATACCTGCAGCACAGGGGGCGTGAGGGCATGGGGTATGGTGGCATGGTGGCATGGGGTATGGTGGCATGGTGGCATGGGGTATGGTGGCATGGTGGCATGGGGTATGGTGGCATGGGGACATGGAGAAGAGAGAAGGCGGCAATGGCTGTACAGCATCTCTCTCATTCACACGCATCTCACGCATCCCTTCACTCACATGCAATGGCTTCCATGCGCACCCTCTCACTCACCTCATTCGCCCCTCTCCTTCACACGCCTCTCACTCACTGCAGCTTTACTACTGGCCATATTTCAGAGTCAGTGCCCCTCCCTCCCTCACACGCCCCTCCCACTCCTGCCCCTCCCTCACACGCCCCTCCCTCTCCCCCTCCTCGGAGCAGGGCTGGGCTCACCAGGGCGCGGAACATGCTGGGCTCACCAGGGCGCGGAACATGCAGCGGCCGTCCGCCTGCACACGGCGCACCGAGTAGTACTCCACCTTCTTACCCGCCGCCCCGCCCCCCCTGCCATGCCATGCCATGCCATGCCATGCCATGCCGCGCACAGAGCGAGGGCGGGGAGAGAGGGGAAGGGAGGGAGGGGAAACGGTGGTGAGCTGCGACTCGTTCATGCTGGTGGTGGTGACGGCAGGGAAAGGGGTGTCAAGTGAAGCCCGCGGAGGCTGTGTGCACTGCAGTGCGCAGAGCAACCCACCGCGGAGGAGCGGGGCGGGGCGGCTGGATGCGCGCGAAGCACAGCCCACGGGCGGCGGCAGCACCATCTGCGGCATCTTCGGAGTTGGGGTGGCGGGCGCCACGAGGTGCGAATGCAGCTGAAATGGAGGCGAAGGGGCTTGCCGTGGCAGCAACTGGATCGCCAGGAGATGGCAGGAGCTCCCAGGAGAGTTGCTGCAACGATGCTGCCGGTGGTGCATGGTGGTGCATGGTGGTGCATGGTGGTGCATGGTGGTGCATGGTGGTGCATGGTGGTGCATGGTGGTGCATGGTGGTGCATGGTGGTGCATGGTGGTGCATGGTGGTGCATGGTGGTGCATGGTGGTGCATGGTGGTGCATGGTGGTGCATGGAGTGGAGAGGAGAAGTGGAGAAAAAAAGGGGGAAGGGCGGGCGCCATAAGTGAGTGCTGAGAGAATAAGGGTAGGACGAGTGAGGGTGCAGTGCCATCAACTGGTGAGTTGGCCTTGTGGGCCCACGGAGCAGCGGCGAGCAACAGAGAGGGTAGTGAGCAGAGCAGAGCAGAGCAGAGCAGCAGCGAGCGAGTGCAGCAGAGTGGGCAGTGAGCAGAGAACCATGGCGGCAGGGAGCACCTGGGGAGGGCGGG